GCATTCTTTGACATGGCTACACCTGAGCTAGTGCTGACCATGTTATTACCATGCTGTTACCAGATCTGCGTCTTGTTACCCGTTATTTTGCCTAATTTCATCGAGGCACAGTGAGGTGAATTCTTTTCTCAATGGAACTGAGCTATAATCAGCAGATTTTATCTCGCGTTTGGGCTTTGAACTCAGCATGCTGCAAATCTACTAACTCATTACGTCACTGCTACCCCCTCCTCAATACGCTTCTCTTTGCAAACGGCAGCATTGACCGTTTTAAATTCTTTGGCATGTTGATGTAAGCAGCTATCATTTCTGATAATCTTTTAAGCTGGATAGTATCTGATGTTAGGACGATTTTTAATCGAAAATTCTTTCTCCTTGGATGTAAATGTAATTTGAGCACAAGACAAGGAGATTAAACTTACAGCAATTTATCTTGCTTATATTTTCAGTTTTTCATCTGTTGAGGTCTCAGAGATGTCTTTCCCATTTTAATCTTTAAGGCGCTGATGAGATTTATTTTGGGGCACTTATTGTTTCTTCGCCTTTAAAGCGTTAACATTTCACTCCATCCAGTAAATTAAGAATGTCAGCTTACATTCGCTACATATCTTCTGATCGTTAGAGATATGAGTGAGCTTGTGCGCGTAATGAACCTGTATTAAACAAATGGAGAGAGGATTAGGTCTCAAACATTTTTTATTCATAGAAAATCAAATTTGTTTTAGTTGGATAGATCGTTGCTGGTTCATCATATTTCAATGTTGTTGATGCTTGATGTTTACTGCTTTTATGGTCAACTGTATTTTTGATGACATTTGTTTCTCACATGATGTGTCATTTCATTGTTTACAGATTGTCATGCATGGCTTAAAAAGCATCACACAAAGCTGTTGAAATGGGCGAGTCTTGGGAGTTGCCTTCAAAGCGTGCGAAGTCCAGTCATAATTCTGCTGGTAAACGATTGATAGTGATTTTGGAGCAGGCTTCTCTCGAGGTGGCAAAGGTATGTTATCCATGGGTCGTTTAACGTTAATACATATCAGAGAAACCATATTTTCTGAAAGAATTCAAAGAACCATTCGTAGAGAATTTTTCTTGGCGAAAGTTCGACCTCTTGGCTGTATGAAGAGAAGCTTATATTCGATCTTTAAGATACCTGTTGTTTCTTAAAGAAAGGATATTGACTTATTTTTGATGAGAATATTTAACTCAGTTTATAATAAAAATATTCTGCATTGTTCTGATTCAGTCTTTTTGGACGTAGGACTAAGGTTAATCATTCATATACTTTTTGTTTACAATGCCGACCTTTCAACCACCCAGTAACCTTCGTTAGGACGTAATAAGAAAATCTTTGTTGCAGTCAAATATTAACAACCCAAACAACACTATGTAGATTTGACTGATTTATATTGAAGACAAGCTTCCTAGGATATGTTGTTAAGGATTCAGTTTGTTGTTACACTGAAATTTTGGCAATCTAGATAAACGGTTAAAACGTACGCCGGATAAACGATAAAAATGCTTGTACATTGGAATATGTTATTAAGTGTATTACTCCTCCAAGACCAGATTTTACCAATATTGCATTGCTCCTTTGATTATAGTTGCACTGGAGAATGGTTTGAGCAGAACATGGCCCAGGGTATTTCAGCACCTGCAGTGCAAAATGCATCTTGCAGCATTGTGTTTACGTCACGAACGATTTTTGAGGAGCTGATTCCTCTTACAGCCTATCGCATAAGCGTAAAAATTTGTTAGTTCACATGAGTATCTTAATAGCCTCATCTCTTCCAACACCAGTGCAGCAACTCTTCCGGTCATGTTCATATCTTCATGGCTTACTCACCGCCCCTTTGCTCATAGTTGAATACGGGGTCATACTACGGCTCAGTGGCATTTCAGCACCCGTAGTTTATAAAGAAGCTCTTTTGAATGGACTCTAAAATGAAGATATGCGAAATATTCAATGCCCTCCGGCAATATGTCCTTGACCCCATGTGACTTGAGTTTGTGGAGAGAGTCCTGCAAATCATGATCAGTACTGAAAGTTCCTTTAGCATGATAACCAGGAACTTAAACTACCGCGTCTGCAGTTTCTGTCTGTGAAAGCAGCTTATAGTCAGATGCATATCCGATTGTTGTTGAACTTAGTTGTTCCTACTTACACCGTCTGCGAGAAATCGTATTCTAGGCGACACTCTAACTTCCAAATTATGGCACAGAAGGTGGAAGATGTTCAGTAAAATGTTTTTCTGCTCGATTACCTCTCTACTTAATATTTTTTGATTGAGCTGTAAAGATTTTTTCTGTTACTAGCTTCATTTGCTTAGGTCGGTAGGTCGTACGAATTGCTCAGCAGCGAAAAACATGTAAATTTCCTGAAAAAGCAGAAGAAGGATCCTGCGGACTATCGTCCAGATATCACCCACCAGGTGAATATGTTTTTATTGTTTTACTTTGTTTATTAGAAACTCTGTTGTCATTGAAAACTGATTTGTCTTATGAGAAAGTTATTTTTTTGCGTAATGTTCCTAAGTGAACGTCAACTTGAATTACATTCTTGATTCAAAAATGAATCAATAGAGACGGTTGTCCGGCGTTTTTCCATCATTGATGTTCCATGAAAGCAATGATTATTTTATCAGTTGCAGATTCTTGATATAATTGCAGCAACATAACCAATAAATGCAACTTTATTATGTATAGCATAAACCATTGTCTGTGGTTCTTTTTGTCTTAATTGTCATCTTGAGCCGTTTCTGTTAGCAGAGTGTATCGTTTTCAGCCTTTTTGCTGTCGCTTACTGTATCGTAGAGAGATAAATTCTTTCTTAATCCAGATTTACGTCTATGTTTTCACCATGCTGAACTTCATGTCGATGTCTGTCAAACTTAGGTTCTTAAATGAAGTACTTTGGACTGTCACTTACGGCGCTACTAATGTCTAATCCTTTAATTTCTCACTATCGAGTCTGCGAGTTTTACCGGTTGCTCACAGAATTCTGAGTTTTTTTACCATAAGTATACTTATGGTAAATTTATTTCTGTAAGTTTGAGCATTTACGCACGCCAGCTACTGGAGACAATAAAATCTGTGCCACACATAGAGGTAATAATTTATCTCGATTAATGGCAAGAGCATGGTATCTTTCAAAAAACGTTTTGATCTCCGAACTTATTGTTTATCTCAGTGTCTCTTCTCCTGTTAGTAAATTTTACTGACTGCATAAATTGGCATAGCTTAGGCATTGTGGATGTTACAGTTGCGTATTTTCGATTAGTTCACCACTTGTTTGCAGTTTATTTCGTCTTAACCATGTTTTCTCATGCTCGTCAGAAACGTTCACTGGATATATTTGCTGTGGTAGTTTGACTGGACTGAAATGAATATCAACGTGGCCAGTACCGAGGATTTTATGTGTGCTCCTGTGATTCGTCAAATGGTCTGCACGGTTAGCCGAGCGCAACTGAGGTAGATGAAAAAATTTAGTTTTCTTGCGGTGGCATTCATTAATGGCAGCAAGAAGACCGCTGGAAACAGATAGACGAATTGGTCAGGTGGGCGAGCGTAGTAATCATCTGGTTTGTAGTTGTAAAGAAAAGTTGTGTAAAGAAATTTGTAAGGCGTCTCTACGGCCTGTCTCGTTGAAGATAACCACGTTATTTTTTCTTTCCATCTTTTTTTTGTTACAGAGCTTTCTTCCTTAACGAGCAGACGCTAAATTTGTTTCTGCGATGCTTCACCAAAGTTCTCAACCAATTTCCTTCTCAGTGGTAGGCATTGTTAGCGGTTACACTAGAGTTAGGCTGAAGAAGTGAGGATATTCTTTTTTATTTAGTTACAAAGGGAATATGATGAAACCTCACGCCGTCTGAAGAAAGATAACTGTTGGAAAATCTCTTATTCGACAAAAAAATATTCAACACTGGTTTGCAAAATGCTCTAGTTTTAAATGTGGCAAGCCGCTAGTATGGTCTGGTATGATATTTATCTATTGAGCTGATTTTTTATTTATCATGCTCAAAGCATGTATCAAGAAAATATTCAGCTGAAAGCGTAAATTTTGGAGCTTCTCAAAGCGACTGAGTATTTCAGTTAGTTAACTTTATTTATAACTGTAGTAGACAGAAAGTATTCCCTTTTCAGCCGTTCAGCACTTGCAAAACATAGAGCTAGTTACAGCAAACGAAAGAAAACAAAAACACGGCGTTATACCTAACTAGTCGCTGAATTCATGAAGATCCTTCAGAATGCGGATTAGGTGAGGCAGTACTGAACTTTTTAATGCCTTAGTAAGAGCGTACATTGGACTGTACACATGGTTTTTACCTTCGATTAGCAACTGGCCACCATATCGGGCAGGTGGTGAGCCGGATCCGCTAGTATGTTTTTTGTGACGATCCAGAGCAAATGTCTTCAAAACGCCACTGAGGCGATCTGTTGATTAGATAGGCCAGTTATCTTGGAAGATAATTTCAAATCGCGACTTAAGGCCCTAAAATCACTATCTGAAAAACCCCCAAGAACCACAACACAGCATACGTTGTTGCAGATTCAATGAATGATCGCCAAAACTGTCAGCTCACGCAGTGTACGAATGTAGACGGATGTTTCTCACCTTGGAAATTACCTGAACGTAATTAGACTTAGCTTATGGTTAAGGTGCACTCCCAGATAAATGAAGGAGTTCTTGGTCCAGGTAGCTTGACGGATATTGCAGCCTGTCTAAGCAACATTCTGAAGCATCAGTAGCACATATTTGGAAGCACGAAAACGCATTCGTATCACTTGCCGACATTTAGCCAAAGTCCATTCTCTCATGATCACTCACATCTATTTTCTGCACACCTCAGAAATAGTCCGACAGTTGTTTCCGTTTGACACCGCCGCAATCAGTGCTGTGTCGTGTCATCAGGGTATTTCAGACACAAATGAGGAAAGCTGATTTGACATTCTGTTTTGTAAATGGAAAACAAAATAGGTGAGAGTACCTGTCCTTAAGGAACACCGAAGTTGTTCTCTAGCGCCCTCGGTCGGTTTTTAGGCAGTGTGACGATGATACTTTTGGGATTTGTAACATTCGTGATTGATACTAGGGTGCCTTTGAATGCTGTAGACTTTTGTTTCTGTTTATTTTATCTGCAACTTGTTTAGTGCCTTTTAATGCTGCTGGACAGTCCTTTGAATCGGTCGAGTCTGCTGCAGGTGTATGTTCATACAAAGCGGAACGTTCTGATCGAAATTCACCCAGAAACCAGAATCCCTCGTACATTTGACCGTTTTGCAGGTCTAATGGGTTTGTTGTGTAAAGCTACTATTTTTTCAAGCATTAAGATGTTTTTTATAGTTCAACTTCTCATGAAATTCAGCATTCGTGCTGCAGATAGTTCACAGCGACTTTTGAAGGTAGTTGTTTCAGCTTTTTCTTTTACTGTTTGTGGGTGAATAAGTTCTCTGTCTTTTATTGTACTAAGAGTGTCAGTAAGTCCAGCGGGCAGGGGCAAGATGCTGATGGCTGTTGGAAACGATGTGTTTTAATAGACATAGTCATGTGATAATTTTGAAACGGAAGAAAACATACGAGACTGGAATGTTAGCTGCTTTGCATCATCAATCAAAGAAATCTGAAAGCAGTGCGAGTCTGTGAACGCCGAAGAACGAAGGGGGGAGAACAATATTCCTGCGGCACGATGGGGCAGGTGTGAAAATCTCAAAATGTTGAGATGAAAACTGTGAGCCTAATCACCGGGTTTTTAATGGAATTTTCCAAATCTCCGAAAACGGAAATTACGTTACTTTCGTAGCCCATCGAAGAAAACAACCTACTCTCCTGCACATAATGGAGAAATGCTTGTGTGGATCATCCTTTGACGGCTGAGAGACCATTGATCGTTACAGATGAACCAAACATGCTTCCTAAACAGTCACTCACGCACGGACAACAATTTTATGTTGAAAGAAATTGTCGAGGAGTCAAGAGCGTCCAACTGCCCTGGTGATGGTGATCGTCATTGAATGTCTGTTTGATGGGAGGGTGGGGGTAGAATGTGCCTTCCGAGCTAAGTCACCGGTTGAGTTCGTCTGAGATGTTCTTTCCGTTATACAGCATTATGGTCGATGGGTGGTATCAAAAAATGTCTGAAGTACAAGAAATAACTGATCGTTAGGCAGTGATATCAATCTATAAGTCGATAATTCTAACGAATTTTAAGTATGCGATGATGTTGTTCTGCAAAGTGACTTTGTCGTTGGCCCATTGAAACTCACCGCAAGAGTTGCATAGGGCTACTTATCAGCTCCAGGAAGACAAGGATTATGAGGGCTGCTGTTGTGACTGACAGAACGAGAGTACTATGAAACAGTAAAGTGACAGATGATCCCTCTAAGTACCTCAGAACAGTTGAGGTTAATGATATCCATACTGGTACTGACGTAATAGTGTGTTTGGCTGACAAGAGCAAGGAGCAAGTTGTATGAAATATGGAAAATCATGCCATATGAGCTGCAGCGAAGTTCACTCTATTGAAATCAGCTGCAAGGATCATGTGTCAACCGTTAACATCTGTGGTTCTTAAATGTCTTGTAAATCTGATCAGCGACCCGGATAAAGCATAAAAATAACAAAAATACATCACAAACATTTGAGCTTGACCGAATATTTTGGCAGAATCACAGAACCAGTTTGAAGACTGTCAATGTTGGCGACTTTTCCTTCCATTACTGCCACTACAGTCACAATCATTGATCAACGTTGTATTGGTTTCTAAGAGCGACAGTAGAAATCAGATACCGTTGAATGAATACCCGACGGTACTGCCAGACGCCTCGCCGTACGGACTCTTTCTGCGGACATGTCGCCCTCTGAATTGGGTATTGGTTCATCAAAATTGACAGTAATTTTTCTAATCTAGGCAGCAACTAATGATATGCTTATTGGCTGTGAAACGCTATTTTTGGAAAGTTTTTCATACTCTATGGTCAAAATGTGGAATATCTCTGACTTTTAATAGTAAAGTTATGCTGTCCTTATGTTTATCTAATTGCTTGTAAAGGTTAGCAGCAGAAAGACTATTTGTCTTCCACCTCCAATATGATCTGCTTTTTTAGCATTTTTGTTTGAACTCTTGATTTTACATTCATAATAATTTTAGGTGATTAAAAATCCAGTCGAGAACTACTTGCCCGTTGGATGCAAAAAGTACTCTACCTCTGTTCATGTTGAAAAGTTGACTACCTTGCGGGACATCGTTCCGCCTGAAGATCCGGTGGTAATCGTCGTTGGAGCTATATCACACGGACAGGTTAATATAAGTGATGCGTTGGGTGGTCTGTTGTACTTTTAGCGTTCTGTTAAGATTGCCCAAGATTACTGTGAAGAAACATTAAAGATCAGTTCTTTTCCTTTGTCGGCTGCTACCACCTGTGCAAAGATTTGCGACGCCTTTGAAGAAGGGTGGGGAATCAGATGACAGATCGAATGGAATCCTGTTTTTGTTTTTGAAGTGTATTGTTGCTTTTTGTTACCATAAAAGTTTTTACAGTGCAACTCAGAATTGCAAATTGCGTTACATCATTGTTAAAATTCATCTACCAACCAGAGCGCATCAGGGTTCAGTCAGCTGTTGTTCAAGCATCTGCATCGTTTGTTAAAGAAGCATTGCTTTATTCTTTACTCAGTGCAGTTGCATTTATTTTGCTCTAAGGGCTATTGTAATTGTAACTGATATCTTGTGCAATGGACGATTAGCGGTCAGATTTTCAGTCAGTGCTGGATCAAAGAAATAATTCTCAACGTAGGCTGAAATCATGGCTGTCATTCAGCTGTAATTAAGTCAGTTTTGATCTCCACTGCTAAGCAACATACGAGTGGTCATTGGAGAAGTACACAAACTTTCAAAGAAACTCTGAAATGCAGTTCTTTCATAACGGTGTGTTTGTGTATAGCTGTCGAGTTTGTATAAGCAAAAATGTGTAGTAAATTCTTAGCAAATTATTATATATCTACCTAGTTTGAACACTCATTTCGTTTACAAAAATTTAGTAAATTCAGATTCGATGAGCACTCGATCGCTGTATTCTGGAAATTCTCTGAGTTATTTCCTCATAATCGTAAGATAGTAGCCGCAAACTTTTCCCTTCCGAAGCAACGGGATGATAATTTTATAAGGCAGTTGATACGTTCGATCAATCAGTACAGTTATCACTACCGTGTGATTGAAGATGGATCTAATGGAAGCATATAATTAACAAATGAAGCACTTTTCTGAATCGTATATCCATATCGATGATTGAACTGTTAAAACGTGAAAAATTGTGAATTGAAGAATGAGTCATATGGTGACAGTGTCTGAGCGGCTTGAAATGACGACCGCTTCCGTGTTCGATTACCCTTTTATTAACTAGGATTCTGCTGAATGTTTCGCAGTGTTTCAAAGCCGCGTTTTCTTCACAGTCCTGTACAGTTGTGCGATTTTATTACAGTGAGATTCTTCGATTTGAGATGGTTTAATAGTCACAGTAGGGCCGTCACAATATTTACGACTGCCTATTTTATAACCGACTTAT